CGGAAGTTTGGNGGGCGATAATTAAATTTTAATTTACTACTAATTCACAGATTATCAAAATAAACATCTGCCTTTATGTAATTGGTCTTGGGTTTTATTTGAGGCTTTGTCTGAATTAATTAGCGTGCTTTAATTAAACAAGATGCATGAAATACGTATTTATACTTCTTAATCCACGCGATTTATCGACCGTGAGATATACGCTCCTAATCCCTGTCCGTACGATTGCGACAAACATGTTTCTTGATCGGATCGTGATGATTACGCTCTTCTCTGTACCACCGAATTGAATAATTTAATATTCGTCGTTTTTAATCAATTTTATTAAATTTTTTTTTTTTGGGTCATCAATCAATTTTATTACGTAAATCGTAGATATTAAACAGAAAAAATCTTCTCACCATTAAAAAAAAATTATTGAAATTTTTTAATAACATGTTATCCATCCCGAAGCATTTTCCAAAAAAAAAGTATATGCATGTAGTTTGTGTTTAATTTGTGTATATAAAGTCTGTAAATTATGAAAATGTCAGCAAAGTACGACGTGCGAAATAAATTTCTAATTAAGGGGTAAGTAATTTTCTATGAAATATACGTATTTTAGGAAATATATATATGCTAGATTTTTGGATATACACAAAAGATTCGTAATATGAATCTAATTATTTATTGTTCGTGGTATTTATTATAGTCACGTCTTTCTTGATATCATAGATTTGCAGATTCTCTGTGGTCCAATGTACATAAATTTAAAGCAAGAAAAAATAAAATGGTTCCGTTAAAAATGTTCGAGCTTTTATTTATTTTATCTTTAAATAGTTTGATTATTTTATGTATCCTATAAAGATCTCTAGAAAAGGTGATTATTTATAAATTTGAAATTGGCTCACTGCTTTATATGCTAAAAATTCGGATTTGACACCAAAAAGGCGATTAGCAGGTTTTTAAAAATGTTATATGCACTCTCCTTTACAATAAAATTAGATTATCCAAAAGGATATTTAAAACTTTAATAACCACAGTACATGTCAAAATACATTCTCGAAAGAGAAGTATTGGGAGGTAATTTTTGCTTAAATGTCAACATCAAATTTTTTTTCAATTTTTTTAAATAATTAAAATCTTTTAATAATCACTCTTACTATTCTTCTAACCAAACATTTTTCTTGCCGAACACTCCTACTATTCCACTAGCCAAACATAATTAATCTCACTAAATTTAGAGAAATTTCAAAAAATACTATTTTTCAAGTGTCACTTTACAAAAATGCCACACTTTTAAAATCTTTACAAAAATACCACTTTTTCAAAATTATTTTTTCTTTATATTATTTATGTTTGGGTTAACTACGTTTTATTAAGATTTAGTTATGAGGGTTTAAGGGGGTTTAAGGGTCAAAACATTTTTTAATTGTTTAGAATTTTAAGATATAGGGTTTAAAAATCTATAATTAGT